CGAAACTATTTAGCTTCTGCATGTGGGAACACCAGACTAGATATTTCGGGTTACAGTTTATATGGAAGTGACAGAGCTCAGTTTGATGGCAGGGCAGCTACATTCAAAATCAGATTCCAGGTAATTTGTGGACTGACCTAATGACAACTGCTACAGAAATTATTTAGGTCCGTATTTACCCACATTATGGTAAACCAGTTTTAGTGAGTTGTTGTTACAGACCACCAAAATCTACAAAATATTAAAAAGTGTGATGAAAACAATAACGTTTTACTTTACCAGCTCAATGAGCCAATTCACTGAGGAAGAAAAGTGTGTCCTCTGCATGTGTGGCTCAGGTGATGAGCATCCCTGCTGACAATGAACTCAGCTGGTCACTTCCTGAGCTGTGACAACTTTATTCATTTCAGATCTTGAAACAAACAAACAAAAAAGCACCACTCAGTGCATCTACTGTAGCTGAAACTGTGGTTGGGATCAAAGACAAAGAAGAGACAAATGAGCTAATGAAAGTTAGAGCAAATGGAAGAAAAGAATGGACTCAAATATATGGGGAAACAAAGCTGTTTACATGTGATTGTCAAAATGTTCTGTTATTGCTATTCGCCAAGGTATAATTATCAGTATTTCTAACCAAATTGACCTGTGTGTGTCATTAGAAATTTAGCAGGAATTTTATGCATTATGGCTCTATTTTACATTTAATAACACAATCAGAAACATGTATTTTGTTTGGGAACTAAAATGTAGTATTTCTTAAACGAAATTATTGGTGAGGAGGTAAATAAAAGTTTAAGGGTTACTTTTAGAAGTGCTTGCACTTCCAACCTTGATGCAAACATCCTAAAAAGCATGTTTCAGGTCAGTTCCCATGTTCAGTCAGATGACAATCATCAATTTGCACCAAAGCACATTATTATAAGGGTATTCCTGGCTAACTGGCTAATCTTTGGCATGCATGTGTTTTAAGTTTGACACAACAAAGAAAAATCACAATAGTAATCGCTAGTGTACACAGACTGTACATCCAATACACAACACTTTGTTTACAGTACATACAAAAACTTTTCAGAGAAAAATATGGGTCCCTGGCAGGATCTTTAAATATGCAAACAGGAAATAAACAATGTGTAAAAATACCAGAACTATACAGGTAGTGTAAATCTGACCAGACTGCCATTTGTGTGAATTTATTTATAACTTTTTCAGTCCATTTTTGGGAGATTATCAGAGTAATGAACAGTTTGACTTCAGTCATTCATACAAATTTGTTTGTACTGTGAGCTATATGGCTCATATGATTCTCTGTCATTGTAAATGCTTGGTAGATACACTCAATCCAGGTGCGACATCAGCCTCAGTCTTGTCTCTGTCCCACACATTTACTGTTCACTTTTAAGAAATAGTCCCAATCACATGAGGAATTCTTTGTTCTTCTTTGTCCATCAACTTCCTGCTGTCTGACCCAGGACTTATCAAAAATAACAGAGATCATCATACTAGAAAAAAGGTATACTTGTGTGCATACGTATGTATGTGTATATTCCCTCTACTGACATGTTTGTTGATGAGGAGGAATTTACAAAACAATACAAATACATATTATAGACTGGCACAAAAACAGCTCAAACAATTTGGGTATAATACAATGATAAAATATCAAAGAGCAGTCCAACAGTCTGGGCACTACAAGGAGTTTCCTAACCCATCAACACACGCACACACGCACACATATAAATAAATAAATTTTAAAAAAACTATTAGTTCCAACAAAACGTCCTTTGTCCTCTGAATGTCCATCTGCACTCGTCGATTGAGAAAACAAACAAACAAACATACAAACAAAGATCTTTTCAGTTTTGTGGTTCCAGATGAACTGGGAGCACTGGTATAGCATAAAGCCTGGGAGCTCTGTGTTCTAGAGCAGTGAGCCGGTGGGGCTGCCGGGCAGTGAGGGGCTGTGGCTGTGCACAGGGAGGCTGTGGCTGAGAGCGGGGCTGGGCCGTACAGGCAGCAGGTCGTAGTGGCCGGGGATGTGGCTGTTCCTGGGCAGGTCATACGGGTTCTGAGTGTAACTGGGAACAACCACACAGCTGGCCCCCTGGACGATGCTGATGGTTGGCTCTGAGAGAGAGAAATGAGGAATTCCAGTAGCACTGAAATGATTAATCAACTAGTAATCAAATAGTTATTTTTTGTCTGGTTCTAGGTGATCACTGTAAAATGAAAGTTTTTAACATTTTGAAGTGTTGGTCACTCAGCTGCAGAAAGTAAATACCTAATTTGACTAGTTGAAAATACTGAAGAATAATATTTAAATGAAAATTAAAATTTCAATGTCTTAATGAGACGAGTAAAAAAATCTACAAACTACAACCCCAAATCAGAAAAAGTTCAAATTAAAACTGCAAAAAGTGATGAGTAAATCATCTGTGTCCTGTATTACATTGAAAACAATACAGCAGCACATTATTTGGTGTGATACCTCATAAACTTTATTCTGATGCCTGCAACACATTCCAAAAGAAGTTGGGACAGTAAAGCATTGACCACGGTGTGATGTTTCCGTTCCTTTTCACAACACTTAAAAGTCGTTTAGAGACTGAGGACACCAAGTGATTAAATGTGTCAGGTGTCATTTTGTCCCATTCTTCCTGCAAACAAGTCTTAGGGTGAGCAACAGTCCTGGGTCTTCGTTGATGCAATTTGTGTTTCAAAATGCGCCACACATTCTCTACTGGGGACAGGTCGGGACTGCAGACAGGCCAGTCCAGCACTCACACCCTTTTCCTCCACAAACAGGCCTTGGTCATGTGCAAAATGAGGTTTTGCATTGTCTTGTTGAAATGTGCATGGGCGTCCCTGGAAAAGATGTCGTCTTGAAGGCAGATCCAAAATCTATATGTATTTTTCAGCATTAATGGAGCCATCACAGAAGTGTAAGTTACATTTGCCAAGGGCACTGACACAACCCCAGACCATGACAGACCCTGGCTTTTGGACTTGATGCTGGTAACAGTCTGAATGGTTCTTTTCATTTTGGTCCTGCTGACATAGGGCTTCCTTTTGGTACAGTACAGTTTTAAGCAGCATTTATGGATGTAGCTATGTGTTTTAGTGCCTGACACAGGTGTGTCAAAGTAATCCTGACCCCATGTGGTTATATCACTTGTGCAGTGCCATCTGAGGGATCAGAGGTCATCCAGCTTATGCTTGCGCCCTTTATGCACCGAAATCCCTCCAGATTCCTTGAATCTTTTAACAATGTTCTGCACCATTGAGGGTGACATATCCAAATCCCTTCCTATCTTTCTTTGGGGAACATTAGTTTTTAAACATTTCAATAATTTTCTCCTGCATATGTTGGCAAACTGGTGGTCCTCAGCTCATCTTTGCTTCTAAAGGGCTAGGCTGGATGCCACTTTCGTACCAAATAAGGATCGCAATCACCTGTTTCAAATGCAACTGTCCCAACTTTGGTTGGAATGTGTTGCAGCATCAGAATTGGAGTGTTTATTTTGAACAAAGAATGATGAGGTGTCAAGTTTAACTAGTGAGCCAATTAAATATCACTAATATCATGCTCTTAAGAACTATGTTAAGTTTATATATTAAATTGTTTATCAGTAAACAAGCCAGAAAAAAGTTAGAAAGAAAATGAAATGGCAAAGAAAGAAAGAAAACGAAGAAGTGTATGTGTCAAAATGTTGAATTATTCCTTTAAAACTCACTCTCTTCAAACGTACCCATGTCGTAGATGTTCTTGGCAGGTGCTGTGGTGGTGGTAGTGGTGGTGATGATGGCACCGGAGCAGCAGTGTGTCATGTGTTCATGGTGAGCTGGTGATTTCATTTCCACATAGCTGCTCTCTGAGTGTTTACACACACCAGGAGGGTCGTTGATTGTGGCGTAGGGGTTTTCACTGCTGAGGGAGCAGGTACTGGACAAAGAGCCCTTCATATAGTCTAGAGAGAGAGAATGAACACAGAGAAACCGCACAGATCACTTAACCTTGTGTATTATTCAGAAATAACACTTCATGACTCACATGGAAGTGTGAACCGTTCACATGGATTGACAGCATTTCTGTCAGTGGCTGAAGGTCTGCTGACGGTGCCACTCTCCCACAGCTACTGTGTGGTAAAAATACTCTCGTGTATACTGCTGCTGCTGTTGGTGCTGCTAAAACCTCACAATTCTAATTCACACATTTTAATATTGATTAAAAGACGGTATACTCTATAGACAAGTCTTCAAACACTGAATATGTAAAACTCTTTCAAAATGCTTTCAAAACCAAAGATACTGCTTTTCCATTTTCTGAGAAAAGGTTTTCACCCAATTGCAATATTCTATAAAACATTTGTTCATGTGTCATGTCTGAATAAAACAGGCTCCTTGGTTATTACAAATGTTACCATAGTGACCAAATTCTTTTGTGATACTAGAGGTGATCAGCAGGACTAGTCCCTGGGCATTTGGATGGCATGTCAGAAATGTCCTAGATTCTGCTATTAAAGCTCAATAAAGCTGGCATTATTCTGTATTTTAAATGTGTCCACAAGTCCCACAAACCAAAAATGTGTTAGTGCTGTAGTTTTTTAGAAAATGTTTCTTAAACAGGAGTTCAGGACTATTTTCATCTGCAGATTAATATATATTATTTGATGCCTATGGTGATTTTTTGGGGCAGTGTGCCTACGATCAGACAACGTGCTGAAGTGACTCAAATGAGTGTCTCTGATCAGATTTTTTGACAGATGTGTGAACAAATCAAATCAGATTTTTCAAATAAGATCTGGGCCACCTTATGAAGTTTCTGATCAAGCCGAACAAGAAGGAACATGCTGCACAATTTGCCTGTTGCATTTCTGTATGCACATGATGACTCATATTTCAGTTAAATACAAATCATAAAATGTGTGGCAGCTTAGGAACTCGGCAGGGCTCACAGCAGAGCTCCATACATATCGCTTGCAAACATGAATATGAACCATCAACACAAGAAGATCGGATCTGGAAAAAAAAAATTGGAATTGAGCATTAAGGTCTGTAATGTGAACGTAGCTTAAGTGAACAGACAATCTGTGAAGGAAATTGAAGGAAATATACACTGAGGAAAACAAAGCATTCAGTTATAGTGCAAGAGAGATTTCTCAGGGGAGTTTTAGGAGTGATGAGGGGTCAAAACAGAAGAAGGACCCAAGCAGAGACAGAAAAACACACAGAGGACCAGAATCAGATTGATCCTGCAGAGGCACAAACACATTTGTAAGAACAGGCTGGTACATATAAGTAAAATCACATTTTATCTACGGGGATGTCGAGCCTTCGGGTACAGACTTGGATCTGTGAGGTCGGAGGTTCTTCATGCTGCAC